TCACCTCTCTCTTCCCTGATGCTTCTATTCTCCTTGTATCCCATCTACCTTTTACTCTCAGTGTAGCTACAACTAGAAAGTGATCTGATATATCTGTGGCCCCTCTATAAACATGTACATCCTGAAATCTACTCAACAGTCTTTTATCTACCAATACATAATCCAACAAACTACTGTCATTTCGCCCTACATCATATCTTGTATACTTATTTATCCTCTTTTTCTTAAAATATGTATTACCTATAACTAAACCCCTTTCTATACAAAGTTCAATCAAAGGGCTCCCATTATCATTTACACCTGGCACCCCAAACTTACCTACCACACCCTCTCTAAAAGTTTCTCCTACTTTAGCATTCAGGTCCCCTACCACAATTACTGTCTCACTTGGTTCAAAGGCTCCTATACATTCACTTAACATCTCCCAAAAATCTCTCTCTCTCCTCTGCATTCCTCTCTTCTCCAGGTGCATACACGCTTATTATGACCCACTTCTCGCATCCAACCTTTACTTTAATCCACATAATTCTTGAATTTACACATTCATATTCTCTTTTCTCCTTCCATAACTGATCATTCAACATTACTGCTACCCCTTCCTTTGCTCTAACTCTCAGATACTCCAGATTTAATCCCATTTATTTCCCCCCACCGAAACTCCCCTACCCCCTTCAGCTTTGTTTCGCTTAGGGCCAGGACATCCAACTTCTTTTCATTCATAACATCAGCAATCATCTGTTTCTTGTCATCCGCACTACATCCACGCACATTTAAGCATCCCAGTTTTGTAAAGTTTTTCTTCTTCTCTTTTTTAGTAAATGTCTACAGGAGAAGGGGTTACTAGCCCATTGCTCCCGGCATTTTAGTCGCCTCATACAACACGCATGGCTTACGGAGGAAAGATTCTTTTCCACTTCCCCATGGACAATAGAAGAAATAAAGAGGAACAAGAGCTATTTAGAAAAAGGAGAAAAACCTAGATGTATGTATATATATATGCATGTGCGTGTCTGTGAAGTGTGACCAAAGTGTAAGTAGGAGTAGCAAGATATCCCTGTTATCTAGCGTGTTTATGAGACAGAAAAAGAAACCAGCAATCCTACCATCATGCAAAACAGTTACAGGTTTCTGTTTCACAGTCATCTCACAGGACGGTAGTACTTCCCTGGGTGGTTGCTGTCTACCAACCTACTACCTAGGTACAGATATACATAAGTATAATTATCAAAGTGTATATAAAATTCTCCATGGGGAAGTGGAACAGAATTCTTCCTCCGTAAGCCATGCGTGTTGTAAGAGGCGACTAAAATGCCGGGAGCAAGGGGCTAGTAACCCCTTCTCCCGTATAAATTACTAAATTTAAGAGAAACTTTTGTTTTTCTTTTTGGGCCACCCTGCCTTGGTGGGATACGGCCGATGTGTTGAAAGAAAGATATATAAAATATGAAATAATTTTTAAAAACACTTGAAATTTTGTAGTTTGCAGACAAAATGGAGAGACATTGTGCTTACAGAGCTCACGAAGAATGTAAACAAACTGGGTGGGGCACAGTGACCGTATTCGAAAGTCAGGTGGGGGGAGCTGTATAGAGAGTTTTGGTTATAATTTGAAATGACCGTATTAGCGGAACACCGTAAAGCTAAACGTCACAAAGCGGGGCACTACTATATAAGACTATATACATGTATAAGACTATATACATGTATAAGACTATTCTGTCAAATGTTTCAATCGCATTGCTTTTTTTCACTGTTCATCATTCCTTAAATAAGTCATTCAATCTCCACAATTGTTGCAGGTAACCAACAACATTCCTCTACACGTTTGACGAAAGTTCATTTTTTTTTTCAACAAGTCGGCCATCTCCCACCGAGGCAGGGTGACCCAAAAAGAAAGAAAATCCCCAAAAAGAAAATACTTTCATCATCATTCAACACTCACCTCACTCACACAATCACTGTTTTTGCAGAGGTGTCCAGAATACAACAGTTTAGAAGTCTATACGTATAAAAATACACAATATATCCCTCCAAGCTGCCAATATCCCAAACCCCTCTTTTAGAGTGCAGGCATTGTACTTCCCATTTCCAGGACTCAAGTCCGGTTATATAAAATAACCGGTTTCCCTGAATCCCTTCACTAAATATTACCCTGCTCACATTCCAACAGCTCGTCAGGTCCCAAATACCATTCGTCTCCATTCACTCCTTTATATATGAAAATTTTTATATACATAACCTTACATCTACACCGTGGCAAAAGTCTGAAATATAGATACAATTCAGATAATAAATCACCCAGTGTGGTACAGTAGTGTGACAGCATCGAACATTAACCCTTCTGGTGTTGGTTCCGTTATATCACAGAACCAACACCAAAATATGATGCCATGAGCTCAGCTCAGCTCACTCAGATAAGCTGTGAGTGGTAAATTTGGGAATAGATAAGAGAAAATGGGTTTTTTGTCATTATGCATGCAGTGCATGAGGAAAAACTCACTATTTTTGGTTTAAAACAGCGACTTTGTAGTGCATTTTCATATGGTTTTTATGGGTGCATTCTCATTTTCTTGGACGCATTTAATAGAATGGAAAATATATTACAGAGATAAAGACAATTTTAATTGGTTTCAGGACTGAAAGTATTTGAAATTGAGCTCATAGTAGAAGAAATGTTTGATTTTTGCCGTTATTCAAGAGTAAGCAAATAACGTAACACATCCAATACACATCAACTGGTGGGTCTAATATGCGTTCACAAATGCTCTGATATTGTTTATACAATTATAATAATGCAGTAGTCTGCATAACAGTAAATCTTCTATTTTTTGTGTGAATAAAAATTCAAAATGGAAAGCAAGCGTAATATAAGAGGGTCCTGGAGATGTGACTAATGAACAGAAAAAATTTTTATTTTAGTGCCATGAATGTCTGCACTGTTTATTCTGGACCCCGTTTTGAAATTGGCCTTTTTTCTAATTTTGTGTGAAATTGGCCAAATTACCAATTTCTGATCACTTCATTAGGTAGTTGAAATAAGTAAATGGGTGCTTGTATTTATTTGATACAGTAAAGGGAGTACACTAGCCAAATAGTTTGGTTGACAGGAACAATAGAATTGGCCCAAAATAGGGCTCAAAATGGCCAAAACTCGCCGATGTGTAAATATCACTGAGACAGCTAACTTTGCAAAATCGTAATTCCATGAATTTTCCATCAAATTTCATAATTTTAGTTTCATTACCTTTGGAAAAAGATCATCATTTCATAAGATTTTTTTTTTTTTTTAATTCTTCGACCCAGAGAGCAAGTTTGCAAGCAGGGGTCGCGATACTGAAAGGGTTAATAAATGCATGAAATTAGAGACTGCAAAATGTTCCATTTTCTCATAGACAAAGTATATTTTATTAATCAAATTTAATTAGTACAGCAGTTAACCCTTAAACGGTCCAAACGTATATATACGTTCACCTGCGCAGCGCCCCAAATATTTTGAGAAAAAAAAAATTTTTATAGGAAAAAAGAGCATGTGGTACCCAGGGGTCCCCAATTTTTTTCATATGGCGCACACTGAGTGCACACACCCATTCTCTCACGTCTAGGTGACTCAGGCCTATCGTGCCAATATTGAATGAATGGCAAAAGAAACGTACATATATGTTGGGGGTGTTATGCAAGAGAACGTATATAAACGTTTGGACCGTTTAAGGGTTAAGCATCTGTAGAAGCTATATGTGAGTAATTTTTTAATTTTCCAAAACTGCACTAACATAATTTGAAGAAGGCACTTATATTTATGATTTACACTGTCAGCCTGTAATGAAACTTGTACCACAGAGCAAAAAGAACTAGAATACTGATCTATCATTACTTTTTTTTTTTTTTTTTTTTCCAACAAGTCGGCCGTCTCCCACCGAGGCAGGGTGACCCAAAAAAAGAAAGAAAATCCCCAAAAAGAAAATACTTTCATCATCATTCAACACTTTCACCACACTCGCACATTATCACTGTTTTTGCAGAGGTGCTCAGAATACAACAGTCTAGAAGCATACACACATAAAGATACACAACATATCCCTCCAAACTGCCAATATCCCAAACCCCTCCTTTAAAGTGCAGGCATTGTACTTCCCATTTCCAGGACTCAAGTCCGACTATATGAAAATAACCGGTTTCCCTGAATCCCTTCACTAAATATTACCCTGCTCACACTCCAACAGATCGTCAGGTCCCAAGTACCATTCGTCTCCATTCACTCCTATCTAACACGCTCACGCACGCTTGCTGGAAGTCCAAGCCCCTCACCCACAAAACCTCCTTTACCCCCTCTTTCCAACCCTTTCGAGGACGACCCCTACCCCTCTTTCCTTCCCCTATAGATTTATATGCTTTCCATGTCATTCTACTTTGATCCATTCTCTCTAAATGACCAAACCACTCCAACAACCCCTCTTCTGCCCTCTGACTAATACTTTTATTAACTCCACACCTTCTCCTAATTTCCACACTCCGAATTTTCTGCATAATATTTACACCACACATTGCCCTTAGACAGAACATCTCCACTGCCTCCAACCGTCTCCTCGCTGCTGCATTTACCACCCAAGCTTCACATCCATATAAGAGTGTTGGTACTACTATACTTTCATACATTCCCTTCTTTGCCTCCATAGATAACGTTTTTTGACTCCACATATACCTCAACGCACCACTCACCTTTTTTCCCTCATCAGTTCTATGATTAACCTCATCCTTCATAAATCCATCATAAATCCATTCATAAATCTATCATTACATTAAAAAAAAAAAAAGTTCAATTATAAATTAGTTTATATGCAGCTAAAAGCTGTATGAATTCTGATTACCTTCCTATAAAGCATGTATCTGAAACCCTTAAACCCAAGAATGACAAACCATAATGTAAATTTTTTTACCTTCCTATAAAGCATGTATCTGAAACCCTTAAACCCAAGAATGACAAACCATAATGTAAATTTTACCTTAAGAGCGGCTGAGAGTTTCATGCTCTTGAGAATTAGTCGAGTGTTATAACTGTCGAGATTCAGCCAAGGGATTTTGTTTTGATTGGCCCAGTCACCAAATGTCACTGGCATCTTCACAGCCTTCATGATGAGTGTTTTCACTTGTATAACCTGAGAAAATACGAGATACAAAATATTTTAATATTTATACTACAGCTTTCCCATGTTGAGGAACATGTATAATAACCTGAGTGTGTAAGCTTTAGCTCTTGGGCCTACCTTTGTATCAGAGTGGTTATCTGCTTAGAAAAGTAACAGGAAATATGATTTAGCATATGTCACTCTGAAGGAATGGTGGGGATATTGCAATTTGGAGAGGTCTCTGAGTTGTTGTATCGGCATACCTCTGGCAAGACACTGGCCATCTCCCTACATAAGTGGGAGATGGCCAGTTAAGAAAAAAATAGTGCATACAATCCTATAGTGTTGCTGTGGTGGTAGAACCACAGTGGCAGCAGCGGGTGGTAGAACAGCTGGGGTGGTGTGGTGGTGTACTAGGTAATCCTCACTTAACGACCGAGTTCCCTTCCTAAGAGTAGGTTGGTAAGTGAATTAGTCATTAAGCGAGGAGAATACTGTACTGGTAGTGGGTTTGTGTCAACCGTCTTTAGATATTGTTTTAATGTCACTTCTGCACTATTTATAACATTTTTAGTATATTTTTAAATGTTTATACAGTAGTGTACTGTTTCCATGAGGCCAGGTCTCAGACCAGGCCATGGGGACGTTGACCCCTGAAACCCTCTCCAGGTATACTGTAATAAACAGAATAGAAGAAATCGGCTCTAATATACATTACTTAGGTTTGCATACTGATTGAAGAGCTGGTCGTAAGTCAGAGCGGTCGTTTAACAAGCAGGTCGTTAAGTGAGGAGTACCTGTACAGTAAGATCAACAATGGACCACTATGTAATGATTTTCAGATAGAACTGATGAAAAATATGGTCAGAAATGTTTGATGCAACAAAGCAGGGCTGTGGAGTTGGCACATAAAACCTTCGACTCTGACTTCTTTAATTATATACCGTACTGAATTTTTTTTGTAACACATCGGCCGTCTCCCACTGAGGCAGGGTGACCCCAAAAAAAAGAGAAAATCCCAAAAAAGAAAATACTTTCATCATCATTCAACACTTTCACCTCACTCATATATAATCACTGTTTTTGCAGAGACAGTCAGATACAACAGTTTAAAAGTCAACCTCCAAACTGCCAATATCCCAAACCCCTCCTTTAAAGTGCAGAGATTGTACTTCCCATTTCCAGGACTCAAGTTTGGCTAACTGGTTTCCCTGAAACCCTTCACAAAATATTACCCTGTTCACACTCCAGGTCCCAAAAACCATCCGTCTCCATTCACTCCTATCTAACATGCTCACACATGCTTGCTGGAAGTCTAAGCCCCTCACCCACAAAACCTCCTTTACCCCTTCCTTCCAACTTTTCTGGGGATGACCCCTACCCCACATTCCTAATTTATACTAAATTAAATTTATTAGGAGTTGGAGTCGGTACATTTTTACTGACTCCGACTCCAGTAACCCAAGAATTGATTCCGACTCCAAAGACCTGCAACGAAGTCTGCTGCATCAAGATTTTGTCTGATAGAGTTAGTGTGCATCTAGTAGGTTTTTTGTACAATGGACCATGTCAAGTGCATCAGGCATTTCAATACAATGGATTTTTGTTTTAACAGACATCTATTAGTTCATTATATCGAGGTTTCACCGTAGTAGTGGTGTGGCAGTAATACTATGTACTAGAAGTAGTAATTTTGTTACCTCCTCCTTTCTTGTCATGGAGAGCAGCAGTTTGGCCAGTAATACGTACTTCAGGTACAGCTGCGGAGATAAAGTTTTTCCATTCTTCACTGAAGAAAGAAGCCTCCTGAAATGAACAATGTTATGTCAAACAGGTAAAGCATCAGATACTGTAACTGGCTGTATTTCATCCTTTTTCAAATCAAACTTTTGAATTTTCTTTTGCAGATTTGCAGCTAATTTCAATAATAAATATAAATTTAGGTTTCCAATGCATTAGTATGAACATGAAATGATAGATAATGCAAAAACATGTTCAGCATAAGGAACGGAAAAGGCTGCAGTGCTAAGTTTTTTCTAGGTCATTTTAATAACTTACTTAACCCTTAAACTGTCCAAACACAGATCTACGTTTGCTCGCATAGCACTCTGAACGTAGATCTACGTTTTTTACATGCTTTCTTATGGAGAAAATCAAGGTCGGAGCGCTACGCACGCAAACGTAGATCTACATTTGGACAGTTTAAGGGTTAAAAGATGATGACTTTATAAAACCATGTGGATACATAAACACATAAGCAAGGACAGAATAGCAGGAAAGAAATCCTTAATGAAACATACTACATGCAAATTACATCTGTCCATACTCAATTAGAATTAAACACATTTACATACTAACAGTACACTTGTTTCTAGACCCTAATACAGTAGGGCCCCACTTATATGGCAGGTAGTAGGCTGGTAGACAGCAACCACCCAGGGAGGTACTACCATCCTGCCAAGTGAGTGTAAAATGGAATCCTGTAATTGTTTTACATGATGGTAGGATTGCTGGTGTCTTTTTTCTGTTTCTTAAACATGCAAGATTTCAGGTACATCTTGCTACTTCTACTTACACTTAGGTCACACTACACATACATGTACAAGCATATATATACATACCCCTCTGGGTTTTCTTCTATTTTCTTTCTAGTTCTTGTTCTTGTTTATTTCCTCTTATCTCCATGGGGAAGTGGAACAGATTTCTTCCTCCGTAAGCCATGTGTGTCGTAAGAGGCGACTAAAATGCCGGGAGCAAGGGGCTAGTAACCCCTTCTCCTGTATATATTACTAAATTTAAAAAGAGAAACTTTCGTTTTTCTTTTTGGGCCACCCTGCCTCGGTGGGATACGGCCGGTTTGTTGAAAGAAAGATATATATTATATTCAACACAGCATTCCCCATATCCAATAATCAGGTGCCATACGCCAGCAATGATAAACATGATTATTTAAGTATATAATAAGTATATAATAATATAATAAATGGGAAGTACAATGCCTGCACTTTAAAGGAGGGGTTTGGGATATTGGCAGTTTGGAGGGATATGTTGTGTATCTTTATATGTATATGCTTCTAAACTGTTGTATTCTGAGCACCTCTGCAAAAACAGTGATAATGTGTGAGTGTGGTGAAAGTGTTGAATGATGATGAAAGTATTTTCTTTTTGGGGATTTTCTTTCTTTTTTGGGTCACCCTGCCTCGGTGGGAGACGGCCGACTTGTTAAAAAAAAAAAAAAAATAATAAGCACATGAAAAAAGGAAGATTCATTCCTCCTTCCGGGGAATGCATTCCTCAAATAAGTAAAATAATGAGAAGTATAAAACAGCAGTCCACGGAAAAGCTTTGAAGGTCAGGAAATAGCGATACAATGGAAGTAGCCAAATAAACAGTACCGTACTGTACCTACTTTATTAACGGTACATATATCCACGGACGTCTTTCATTATGGAAGATAAGAGTTCTGCAGTGCAGTAAGGTATCCAGGATATGCTCTTGGCAGTGACCTGAAGAAAATGAATATTTAACCATTTCATTATTTTAAAAATTGTAGTAACTTTTCAAAATTAAATTTAAAGGAACATAAAATATACTAGATGGCATACACTTAAATGCCTACATTAAAAACCTACACATAGGAGAATGAGACTCATGATGACATTTCAGTCCTACATGCATGTTATTTGTGCACTGTTCCAGTCATGGTATTGTGCCTTATTTTTAAATGCTTAGTTTAAGAGAAATCAAGGATATTTCTTATGATGTATCCTTCAACAGATAATGAAGGAACCAAAAGGTAATAGGTAGGTAGGCAGATAATTCTGTGTATATCATTAAATGCTCTTGGCAATACAAAATACATACCACACACACATAAAAAAAAAAAAAAATAACACATTAACATTAAAATCTGTTAGCATGAATGAAACAGGTGGTACAAATACAAAGGAATCAATGTACTAGGAGGCTGGAAGTATCAGAACGTCATATTGGAGAGTAATGTGTGGTGTGAGTATTTTGCAGAGAATTCAGGCTTGGAGATCAGAACACTGTGGGGGTTACCAAAAGTATAAATCAGAGCTGAGGAGGAGGTTAATGAAGTGTATTGGCATTTGTTGATGGAAGAGAACAAGATGACTAGGAGGGTTGGAGAGAGGGGGGTAAAGATGGGTTTGAGGAAAGGGTTAAAAGTTTTAAGTAGTATGGGCTTGAACATCCAACAGGCCTGGGTGAGCGAGTAAACTCAGACTGGAAGAGAGTAGTTTTTATTACTTGACATGTTGTAATGTTAGCAAGGTAACACACATGAAAGGACCGATGGCAGTAGCAGCAGCAACAATATTTACTAAGCTCTTTGACTGTGTAGATCACTTAGCACTCATAGCCATGAAAAGAATATTTACAACATACAATAAAATCAGAGATAAAATTAAAGAATAATAAAAGCAACAAACACAACACCAATAAATATTATCATACCAAGTTAAATGGCCAACATCAATGAAAAACCCAACATATTAGTAAAGTTAAAAGATTTTCCTACATTTATAAAGAAAATTGTTAAAAATTATTAACCAGACTTGAGTACTGGAGGTGGGAAGGGCAGTGCCTGAGCTCTGAAGGAGGGTAGGGCATTACAGTCAAGAAGGTAATTTAAAAGTGTGGTGCTAGCACACATCTGAAAAGACAGCAATTGAATAAATGATGGTGAATGCATTTTCATCTCTGAACAACAATGCCTTGACAGGAGACACATGTCAAGGTAAAATAAAAAAAATATGATGTATGCCCCCGCATCCACCCATCCACTAATCAACACACACACGCACACATGCACGCCTAGTATACTGACAATACTTTTACCTTCAGCAATACTCACCAAGCATTAAAATGAAGTTGGTAGAAATCTTTGAAACAGCTACAGGCACTTCTTCAGTTCTGCAACATATTTTATTAATTAATGCAACTTTTCATACAATGATATTCATGCAAATGATGGTGTCATTCAATGTCTTACACAAATTCAACTGCAGAACCCTTCTCAGTTCACTCCTTTTCTTGATCAAAGCCATTATCTGACACCAAACATAATAGATTAATTGTAGATAAAACATAAAATATGGCAAGTATGAATGATCCTGAAAACTGGGGTTTAAAGTATGCTTTCGTTACTTTATTGTGAATTGACATGCAAAAAATAAAAAAACAGGTTAAGTATGAATGTAAAAAAAAAAAATTACATTTCCTGATAATGAAAACAACCTGTCCTTTGAAACAAGATCAAAGTGTGGTATCATAGTGTACAACTAACTTTCTTGATTACCAGTTAGTTAAGAAAGCAATGATTTTATTTTTTTGTTTTACACATCAACTGTACAAACAAAAGCCTGTAATCGTTTTACACAATGGTAGGATTGCTGGAGTCTTTCTTCTGTCTCATATACACACAATATTTCAGGTTCATCTTCTTACTTCTACTTACACTTAAGCCACACTACACAAGCATTTTTTTTTTTTTTTTTTTCAACAAGTCGGCCGTCTCCCACCGAGGCAGGGTGACCCAAAAAAAAAGAAAGAAAATCCCCAAAAGGAAATACTTTCATCATCATTCAACACTTTCACCACACTCGCACATTATCACTGTTTTTGCAGAGGTGCTCAGAATACAACAGTTTAGAAGCATACACATATAAAGATACACAACATATCCCTCCAAACTGCCAATATCCCAAACCCCTCCTTTAAAGTGCAGGCATTGTACTTCCCATTTCCAGGACTCAAGTCCGACTATATGAAAATAACCGGTTTCCCTGAATCCCTTTCCTAAATATTACCCTGCTCACACTCCAACAGATCGTCAGGTCCCAAGTACCATTCGTCTCCATTCACTCCTATCTAACACGCTCACGCACTCTTGCTGGAAGTCCAAGCCCCTTGCCCACAAAACCTCCTTTACCCCCTCTCTCCAACCCTTTCGAGGACGATCCCTACCCCGCCTTCTTTCCCCTATAGATTTATATGCTTTCCATGTCATTCTACTTTGATCCATTCTCTCTAAATGGCCAAACCACCTCAACAACCCCTCTTCTGCCCTCTGACTAATACTTTTATTAACTCCACACTTTTTCCTAATTTCCACACTCCGAATTTTCTGCATAATATTTACAATACACATTGCCCTTAAACAGGACATCTCCACTGCCTCCAACCGTCTCCTCGCTGCTGCATTTACCACCCAAGCTTCACACCCATATAAGAGTGTTGGTACTACTATACTTTCATACATTCCCTTCTTTGCCTCCATAGATAACGTTTTTTGACTCCACATATACCTCAACGCACCACTCACCTTTTTTCCCTCATCAATTCTATGATTAACCTCATCCTTCATAAATCCATCCGCCGACACGTCAACTCCCAAGTACCTGAAAACATTCACTTCTTCCATACTCCTCCTCCCCAATTTGATATCCAATTTTTCTTTATCTAAATCATGTGACACCCTCATCACCTTACTCTTTTCTATGTTCACTTTCAACTTTCTACCTTTACACACATTCCCAAACTCATCCACTAACCTTTGCAATTTTTCTTTAGAATCTCCCATAAGCACAGTATCATCAGCAAAAAGCAACTGTGTCAATTCCCATTTTGAATTTGATTCCCCAAAATTTAATCCCACCCCTCTCCCGAACACCCTAGCATTTACTTCCTTTACAACCCCATCTATAAATATATTAAACAAACATGGTGACATTACACATCCCTGTCTAAGACGTACTTTTACCGGGAAGTAGTCCCCCCTCTCTTCTACACACCCCAAAACCTGAGCCTCACTATCCTCAAAAAAAACTCTTTACAGCATCTAATAACTTACCACCTATTCCATATACTTGCAACATCTGCCACATTGCCCTCTATCCACTCTATCATATGCTTTTCTAAATCCAAAAAATGCAATAAAAACTTCCCTACCTTTATCTAAATACTGTTCACATATATGCTTCAATGTAAACACTTGATCTACACATCCCCTACCCACTCTGAAACCCCCTTGCTCATCCGCAATCCTACATTCTGTCTTAAACCCCTATTCTTTCAATTATAACCCTACCGTTTCACTTTTCCTGGATACTCAGTAAACTTATTCCTCTATAATTTTACAGTCTCTTTTGTCCCCTTTCCCTTTATATAAAGGGACTATACATGCTTTCCGCCAATCCCTAGGTACCTTTCCCCCCTTTCATACATTTATTAAACAAAAGTACCAACCACTCCAACACTATATCCCCCCTGCTTTTAACATTTCTGTCATGATCCCATCAGTTCCAGCTGCTTTACCCCTTTTCATTTTTTCGTAATGCCTCACGTCCCCCCCACACTTACATTCTGCTCTTCTTCACTCCTAAAAGATGGTATACCTCCCTGACCAGTGCATGAAATTACTGCCTCTGTTTCTTCCTTAACATTTAAAAAATTCCTCAAAATATTCTCGCCATCTACCTAATTCCTCCATCTCCCCCTCTACTAACTCCCTACTCTGTTTTTAACTGACAAATCCATACTTTCCCTAGGCTTTCTTAACTTGTTTAAACTCACTCCAAAATTTTTTCTTATTTTCATTAAAATTTCTTGACAGTGCCTCTCCCACTCTATCATCTGCTCTCCTTTTGCCACTCTCTCACCACTCTCTTTACCTTTCCATATACCTCTGCTCTTCTTATAAACACTTCTGCTTTGTAAAAACCTCTCATAAGCTACCTTTTTCTCTTTTATCACACCCTTTACTTCATCATTCCACTAATCACTCCTCTTTCCTCCTGCCCCCACCCTCCTATAACCACACACTTCTGCCCCACATTCTAATACTGCATTTTTAAAACTATTCCAACCCTCTTCAACCCCCCCACTACTCATCTTTGCACTAGCCCACCTTTCTGCCAATAGTCGCTTATATCTCACCCGTACATGTACATGTACATGTACAAGCATATATATGCACCCACCCACCTGGGTTTCCTTCTATTTTCTTACTAGTTCTTGTTCTTGTTATTTCCTCTCATCTCCATGGGGAAATGGAACAGAATTTTTCATCCATAAGCCATGTGTGTTATAAAAGGCAACTAAAATGCAGGGAGCAAGGGGCTAGTAACCCAATGTCCTATATACATTACTAATGGGCCACCCTGCCTCGGTGGGATAAGACCAGTTTGTTAAAAGAACATCAGTTTTACAGAAGAGCTGTTAACCTACCTCTACCCCCCCCCCCCAGGCTGCGACCCACAACAGTCAACTAACACGAGGTACCTACTTACTACTAGGTGAAAAGGGGCAGCAAGTGAAAGGAAACATGCCCACCATTTCCACCCATGCCAGGGATCAAACCACAGATACTCAGTATGTGAGAAGTGTGCTCTATCAACTGAGCCACAGGACACTTAATATGAAAGGTTTCTAACAAGGATAAATATGTTCACGAATGAATTCATTCTTGCGATTCCAGTTGGTACTATAATTACAGCACGTTAGCAAGTTACACAGAATCCCTCATTTTTTTTTTACCATATTGGCCATCTTCCACCAAGGCAGGATAACAAAAAAAAAAAAAATGCTCATCACTCGTTCAAGAGCTGTTTGCCAGAGGTGCAGACAATTCAAATGACAAGCTGAACTATAACATCCCCTCCCACCCCTCCCTCAGAATGCTGGAACTGGGGGAGGGGGGGGGATGATGTTACAGTTTGGATTGTCATTTGAATTATAATGTTCGCCTACTTCTGGCAAGACAGCTATTGAATAAGTGATGTTGAATGTTTAGTTTCTTAAGATTAGGAGAGAGCTGATGTAAAAAAAAATATATATATATATATTATATATATATAAATATATATATATAATATATATATAGGGGGTGGGATTAAATTATGGGGAATCAAATTCAAAATGGGAATTGACACAGTTACTTTTTGCTGATGATACTGTGCTTATGGGAGATTCTAAAGAAAAATTGCAAAGGTTAGTGGATGAGTTTGGGAATGTGTGTAAAGGTAGAAAGTTGAAAGTGAACATAGAAAAGAGTAAGGTGATGGGGGGTGTCAAATGATTTAGATAAAGAAAAATTGGATATCAAATTGGGGAGGAGGAGTATGGAAGAAGTGAATGTTTTCAGATACTTGGGAGTTGACGTGTCGGCGGATGGTTTTTATGAAGGATGAGGTTAATCATAGAATTGATGAGGAAAAAAGGTGAGTGGTGCGTTGAGGTATATGTGGAGTCAAAAAACGTTATCTATGGAGGCAAAGAAGGGAATGTATGAAAGTATAGTAGTACCAACACTCTTATATGGGTGTGAAGCTTGGGTGGTAAATGCAGCAGCGAGGAGACGGTTGGAGGCAGCGGAGATGTCCTGTTTAAGGGCAATGTGTGGTGTAAATATTATGCAGAAAATTCGGAGTGTGGAAATTAGGAGAAGGTGTGGGGTTAATAAAAGTATTAGTCAGAGGGCAGAAGAGGGGTTGTTGAGGTGGTTTGGTCATTTAGAGAGAATGGATCACAGTAGAATGACATGGAAAGCATATAAATCTATAGGGGAAGGAAGGCGGGGTAGGGGTCGTCCTCGAAAGGGTTGGAGAGGGGGTTTAAAGGAGGTTTTGTGGGTAAGGGGCTTTGGACTTCCAGCAACGTGCGTGAGCGTGTTAGATAGGAGTGAATGGAGACGAATGGTACTTGGGACCTGACGATCTTTGGAGTGTGAGCAGGGTAATATTTAGTGAAGGGATTAGGGAAAACCGGTTTATTTTCATATAGTCGGACTTGAGTCCTGGAAATGGGAAGTACAATGCTGCACTTTAAAGGAGGGTTTGGGATTTTGGCAGTTTGGAGGGATATGTTGTGTATCTTTATTTTGTTTATGCTTCTAGACTGTTGTATTCTGAGCA